AAATAGTTTCTTGCTGAAATTCACAGATTCTGACAGGTGTTAGTATGGGAATCGGACTTCGAAAATACGGATTTCAAAAATTTTGAAGCTCTTATGAACGTCACATCTTGGTAGATCTTTCTTCATCTTTTCTATCTATCTTGGATATTTCATGTTAAATGTTGTGTGTTGTTATTAGCGGACATTTTAAATGAATAAGACATAAATAAGCTCATGTAGATCATACAAGATTTTTCGCGATGTTAGTGCGATGCATTCTGCAATTTCTTTGATGGTCAAACAAGGTCGCACAGAGAATCTGCAGAAGCTCAAAAATGTTCGGTGGACTTCCATTCTATCGTTGAAGACATTCAACATAGACACTGGAAGTTTTAGTCGTTTAATATCCATAAAGCAAAGAAATAGAAGAATAACCGATGTTTCTTTGTGAATACAACGTGAATCTTAAAGACAAGATTGGATAAACTTTATCTGGATCTGTGTGTGTGTGTTACCATCGCATACGACTGAAGCTACTTACCTACTACCAGGTTTTATAGTCTTTAAGTACTGGCCAGTCTCTTATAAAATAATTTTGATGTAGCTTTGCCTAGAATGTCTTATCACTTCTTGCAGTGCCATATCCGGTTCGAAATAAGCGTGCCGATATGACCTTCGCTCTACAACGCCTCGATGGCCAAAGCAATGACTCTCAGAGAAAATGTATTGAACCCATAGATACAATGTAAATGAGAGCCGATATTTTTGTATATCAGTACAATATAACAGCTACAGTTATACAATACAATGTATCACTGCACGAGCAACATAATGACTTAAGTGTGGCATTAGAACTTCACGTTAATGTACATATTAGTATATGTACAGATGAGGTAGTTACCAGATGACCATGACACAGTGACTCGAGAAAATCTCGTGAACATTTTGAAATCACTCCTTATTACGGCACTAGTAAGACTTCAAATGTCGTCTTACTAGTGCCTAACGATTGGAATAGCGAGGGCAGGAACTATGGAAGCTTACGAGGGATTATTTATTCTTGATGATACGTTGATGATGACGATGCAGTAGCAGCTGTATGCGAAAGTACCACGGCCTTACAGAAGACCGGCGGCAACTACTGAATAGAACTTCCACTATACTTTCGCGTTTCGGCTGGTGAGTGAATTCACCGGGGCCCATGTTTAGGGTTCTGTACCGAAAGGGTAAAATGGGACCCTATTACTAAGACTCCACTGTCTGTTTGTCTGTCTCTCCGTCCGTATGTCACGAAGCTGTATCCCATAAATTGTGATATTTAGACAGTCGAAATTTTCACAGATGATGTATGTCTGTTGCCGTTACAACAAACACTAGAATACAAATACAAATACTAGAAAACATAATAAAAAATATATAAGTGTTGCGTGACACACATGAGACCTGATTTTTTTTGCTGTTTTTATAAATGGCACGGAATCCTTCGTTCGCGAGTCAAACTCGCACTTGGCTGGCTTTTAATTGTCTGCAATGCATTTGCAACCCCTCCTGGTGTTGTAGACCTCCTGGTAACACTTAATGTCTTCCATCTGAATAGCCTTCAAGAGTAAATGTCCACTTGCAATGCATATTAATAATCTAGGGAAATAATAAGCGCGTAGGATTCCGAAAAAAAATTAGTATACTTTTAAAAATTAAGTCGAGTACTATACTGTAGATCATCGAATAGATATTATTAAAGAATTTATTTATAAAGTCAGTTAAGTTTTAGTTAAAAACGTTCGAATGTAAATTTGTTTATATTAGATAGTTAACCTTTTAGACCGAGTCATATGTTAACCTACCTTGCCAAACAGTTCCAATTCATTGCAATGTTGTTTTATTTCATTACTCGAGGCTGATTATCGCAAAATCAGTTACTACGTTAATACAGCGGGGTTTCAATTAATAATATATTTGCAATGGTATCAGTCAGATGACTCCGTGGCACAGTTGCCAAGGTATTGGCTTCGGCGTCGGGGGTCGTGGGTTCGATTCCCACACGGGACAACTATTTGTGTGACCCACAGGTAGTTGTTTCGCATCTGGGCGTTTGTCCGCGTGAAATTTATGTTCGTAAAACGTCCCTACAACACAGGATAATGTTATCCTAAAGTAAGGGCAATGTTTTAAAAAAAAATAAGAAATAAGAAAATAAGTCCTATCTCAAGCAAACCGACCTTAAAGCTAGGTCATTGAAATATTCCAGAATTGTAAGCTATTATTATTCATGTTCATATTCAATACCAAGGGTATTAGTGAAAGTTTTTTTTATCAATGAACAATCAGTTGTTTTAATATCTCATTAAGCGCTGCAGCCTCATATGTCTGTGAAAGGGGTCAGTATTGAGATAACGGCTGATAGAGGAAACTGAAAGCAAAGGAAATGTTGTGCCGACCCCACCTATTGTCTAATAAGGGCAGAAGAAAGAAGAATCTTCAGCACATTTTTCGTGCAATTACCGATTCTAAATCTGTTTCGGTTTATAACGCGAGATTAAGCGACGTATAGGGTGAAAAACATTTTAGTCCTTAGGCAGCGACACATGCGTCTAATCATGCAAGTTTTAAAAATCTTTGTTCCTTAAAACTTTAATAACTTTACATGAAATGCAGATATGACAATATTTTTCTCAGATAAGCGCCAAGTGGCGGCTGCTGAGCGTATGATATTTTATTTATAGAGATGAAACAATGTTTACTAAAATATAAAATACAGACGTTCTGTCAACCACACGACAGTTAGTCAGATGGCGATGGAATAAGTTGTATTCGAAAAACGGGAAACATTTAAAATAAGTGCTGTAATCGTGACAAGAAGTTAGTTCATAATACTCGCCAAACATATATTTATTAGAGCGCAAACGATGCATTGGTGCCTTTTGGATACGACCCCATCACTTTAAAACTTCTACTTTGCTTTTAGATTATCGCTGACTGTCTAAATAACTAATATAGTGCTACTAAAACTTAAAGCCTAAGTTATCCTTACAGCTTATGAAATACTTTATCTCTTCAAAATATAATTCCATCACAAATCTTAATTCAGTTTCTAATAATTGAATCTCCCTTCTCTAAGTTTCAATTAATCAAATTGAGCGATGATGACAACTCAAGATTAAATCACTGTGTAACATCACCAGTTGATGTTGAATTATTAAGTAATTTTGACATAAGCAGACTTCATCGCATTTATCCGCCCAACCTTGGCCTACTTTCGTTTCCATCAAAATATGTTCCGACTCTTAGATTGAGAGGTATCGGAATATCGAAGGTTACGTGGATCAAATTATCTGAACACTTCATGTTTACTCGTATATAATTAGTTTTATATCGACATCAACATCGACCAAAAAGGAGTAGACGTTCATCGACAGTAGCAATCACTTAACACAAATTACGAGTACCCGTTTTCCAATGCAACTTATCACCCACTTGCAACATAATAGAAAAAAACGTGTACGCTCGTAAGAAGTTATACTTCTTTAGCGTAACAAAATAAAAATAAATAAAATTTTATCCACTTTACCAGTACTCTTTGTTTGTAAAAAAGACATTAAAAGTATTCATGGTCTTTACAATGTTTGTTTTTAATATAAATCTAGAAGAAGAAGATCTTCTTCTTCTTCTAATATAAATCTAGCAAATCGAGGCTGCTTATTGCAAAATCAGTTGTAAATTTGGTTTTTGATTTTTAAATATGGAAGATGGTTTAGTGTTTGGAATTCACTAGCTTGGAATCCCATCTACGTTTACCCATAGCAGGTCTGTCCCGTGTCCATGAATGCTGAAAAGGGTTTTTAGTATTTGGGGGTTCGAAACTTCGGGAAATAAAAGCGATAAATCTGTAAACATGTGTGTAAATATTTTAATCAGCAAAGTACAATTCAACTAATCGTATGTTAGTTCATATTCTGATTAAAATTGTAGTTTTGCACTTTCATTTGTCACTGGAAACTGTTTCATTTTAAAGCCATTTCGAAATATAAAACCAAACTTCAGTATAGCAATATGATGTGCGTAAATATTTTAATCAGCAAAGTACAATTCAACTAATCGTATGAACTAACCAATCGATCCAATGCGGAAGGCTGCGCGACCTACATTGCTTTAAGTAAATGTACTTTTCATGTTCTTATTCAAATGCTAACACTAGTGTTTGTTACTTCCAAAGTTTTATACTTTTAAAGCCTCATCCCCCTAACTTCATAAACAAAAACTTCTTCCATATGTAATTTAATTTAAATATTTAACGTCTCACTAAGTTCATATCTCACGGTTAACAGATCCTTAAGCCGTGCCGTATGGTTGGCAACAATATCAAAACGTTTTTTTTTCTTGCTTCGTTTAAACATTGCCCTTACTTTAGGTTAATTTATTGTAACATTACCTGTGTTGTAACGTTACCTGTGTTGTATGGACGTTTTACAAACATAAATTTCGCCGACAAACACCCAGATGCGAAACAAATATCTGTGAGTCACACAAGTAGTTTTGCCGTGTGGAAATCGAACCCACGACCCCCGACGCCGAAGCCAATACCTTGGCAACTGTGCCACGGAGTCACGTTATTTTACTGGTGCTTTAACTTAAACGCTTTTATTTAATAACTAAACCAATTGTATAACTAAGCCGTGATAGCTCAGTGTCCGGGCGCTCGCCTTTAATTTTATTTACTCGAGCAACCTGAGTTCGATCCCCGGTGCCAGCACCAATGAAATTGTTAATTTCTTCTTATCTTAGATTGCTGTCTTATCACGTGCTCGGCGGTGAAAGAAAACCTAGTGAGGAAACCTGCATATTTTCTAAAAAATAACCAAAAAAATATATTTCGAAGATATTTGAAGTCCGCCAATCCGCAGTGGGGCCTCGTGGTGGACTATACCCTGATACCCGAGGAGGCCTTTGCCTCGCAGTGGAACATTTATAGGACGTTACTTTACTTTTTTTTTAAACCAATTGAACATAAATCTCTCCTCCAGGACCCAACGCGGGTCGTGTGCCCCGTCATCGACGTCATCAGCATGGACACTTTCCAGTACATCGGCGCGTCGGCGGACCTCCGTGGCGGTTTCGACTGGAACCTAGTCTTCAAGGTAAACCGCTAGCCTTTCGGAATGGCTCCACTCGGGTGACGGCTTCGTTTTCGGCCTTTGACCAAGGAGTCTGTATTACATTACTCACCATTCTCGTCCACACCGCAGACGGTCTACTATTTTTATTACCGCATTAGACACAACGATCGGAATGTTCGACTCGGGTGACAACTTCGTTTTCGGCCTTTGACCAAGGTGGCTGTATTACATTACTCACCATTCTCGTCCACACTGCAGACGGTCTACTATTTTTATTAGCGCATTAGACACAGCCATCCCGTTGATATTTAAATTGCAAATATCATGTAAATTTTCCACCTGTGTCTGCCTTATTATTGAATTGATCCCTAAGTCAATACTTATGATGACTTATTAAGCTTGATCTTAAATTCGTTAAAAAATTCTTCCGATATGTGGAAATTTCTATTAATCATTAAAAGAGCGCAAACTATCTAGAGCTTTTTAAAATTTTAAAGAAATTTTCTCCTTAACTTTTTGACCCTGTCTTCAAAAAAAAATATTTTATGTAAATTTTGAAATGAAATTAATGTTCTATTGTTTTACTTTTATTTAGAAATACTTAGAAAACGTTAATAAAATACTAAAAGTACATGAATAGATATATGATGATCCAGCTTTTGCTTCAGTGCCGAGGGTCGAATTTCAAATCAAATCATATCGGCGAAAAACTTTTCGTATTTTTTCTACATGTACATATTTAACTTTCTAAAAAGCTCTCGTTAGAATTATCGTTGTAAAATAATAAACACCGAGACACTAGAAAAACACTATGTTCATCACACAATATTTTTCCAGTAGTGGGGATCGAACCCACACCATCTGGGCAAGAGGCAGTTTCACTATTCACTCGAGCACTAACCAACGCCCGACGCACTCGACTCGACAAGACAAATCTATATAATATATAAAAATGAATCCCTATTTCCTTTGGTCACGCCAACACGCGTGAACGGCTGGACTGATTTCACTTTTTTTTGTTGTGTTATTATCAGGAGAAGGTTCTTAAAAAAATGCCTGAAAAAGTCCAAAAACAACACTTTTCTATATTCCCGTACAAAAGATTCGTAATAATACTTAAAAGTCAATTTGAACTTTAATACCATAACATAAAGTTTAAGTGTTAGTGGAGGGGTTCCGGGAGGCAAAACAAGTGAGTAACTGTGGTAAAATGTCACTTGAAATGTAAAGGTCTCTTTGCTGTACATCACTACATAACAAATATATATAAAACAAAGTCGTCCCGCTGTCTGTTAGATGTATGCTTAGATCTTTAAAACTACACAACGGATCTTGACGAGATTTTTTTTTACTAGATAGAGTGATTCAAGAGGAAGGTTCATATGTGCAATACATTGCACCCGTGCGAAGCCGGGGAGGGTCGCTACTCGCTAGTTTCTCAATAAAAATCCAACGATTCCAGTGGGAGTATCTGTCACACGCCGAGCGCAGTGCCCGCCTGAGCGATCCCACCCAGGTGATTAGGACGCCCATGATCGCTGGCGGTCTGTTCAGTATGGACAGGGAGTACTTCAGCAAGCTGGGCAAGTACGACATGAGAATGGACGTGTGGGGCGGTGAGAATCTCGAAATCTCCTTCAGGTTAGCTCTCTATCAATATCTAAAGCTGTTTTTTACTTATAATACAACACATGATCCTGTGGGGATGACAGCCTGTGATATAGTGTATACGCCTTCAACTCCCAACACGGTCACTTTTCATCCAACCCTGCTTTTTTAGAAATTTAAATTGTTTATAGTGCTAATCTTTGCACTTAAGATTGAACATTAAAATATGTAGAAAAAGTGCGAAAAGATTATTTATTAAAGTGCGAATCTTTTCGCACTTTTTCTACATATTTTAATGTCCACCCCTGCTTGTTTAAATAGTTAGCTATTATATTATAGGTCGAAAAGATAGTTTAAGTATTTGTCTAAATTCTTAATGTTAACTGCATCTCTGTTTCTATCAAATTTAAGAACTTATTGGCAATATTTATCATCTATTTCCATATTAATAAGTTTTCTTCTGCATACATATATACATGACAATATCCCGTTCGAAGAGATCATTACATCATATTCAAAATCATGACAAAACTGAATATATTTTCAGGGTGTGGCAGTGTGGTGGCTCTTTAGAGATCGTGCCTTGCTCGCGGGTGGGGCATGTATTCCGCAAACGCCATCCCTACACCTTCCCTGGGGGTTCCGGGGCGGTGTTTGCCAGGAATACCAGGAGAGCTGCTGAAGTCTGGATGGACGATTACAAGGAGCTGTACTATCGCTCACAACCACTGGCCAAGCAGGTTGATTTCGGAGAGTGAGTAGAATAACAATAAAAAAGACTTTTGGAAATGATTTCACGCGAAATGTCTAGGGCTTGCGAGTTCAAACCGGTGCTCATTATGTATACGGATGTTGCATAATAAAACCAAACGCTTGATAAAACTCCTGACATGCACAACCTTGAACTTTCGTTTGGTTCTTTTAATTTTTTATCGATTTAATTCCCAACCATACCTGCACATATAAAATTCGCTAAAAAACGCAAAAAGGATGCAACTTTAAAACTTTATTCGAATTTAATTTGGGCTAGAATGCGATAAGATCTTTTAAAGTACCAACAAAAGAATTTAAATCGGTTTCACATCCTATTGCAGTATTCCGTTTATATATTTTTTTACGATTTTAAAGGAAATTAATTTAAAAGACTTCCGACTTAATGCATAAAAACCCTTTTATATTTTACCTTTTACCAAAAAACGTGGAACGTTTCACTAAAACCGGTTACAAACTTGTTAAGGTTATTTTTCAATATAAAAATCCCTTCCGAATCTAATCTCTTTTTAAATGCCTCCGCATTTTACCGGACTAAAATCTAAATTACATCCCGCAGTATCTCAGAGCGTGTTCATCTGCGCGAGAAGCTGCATTGCAAGCCTTTTCGGTGGTATTTGGAGCACGTATACCCTGAGCTTCAGGTGCCGGCCATAGGTGGTGTGTCACACGCCATCAGACAGGGATCCCGCTGTATGGACACAATGGGACACCTAGTCGACGGCACTCTAGGTAACTATGTTTTATCTTCATTAGTATGGTATGGACACCATGGGGCACCTAGTTGATGGCACACTAGGAATATATATTTTATATTCATCATTGTATGTATTGAGCTGTTATCACCAGTAGCATGTAATACTATTATACTTTCGCTATTTGTCTGGTGTGTGAGGTAACCTTAAAAAGAGGGGCCCCCGCCCCCCTTTTTAAGGTTCCGTACCCAAAGGGTAAAACGTCGACGACCCTAATATTAACGCTGTCGGTCTGTCTGTCTGTCCGTCTGTCACCAGGCTGTATCTCATGAATCGTTACAGTTAGACAGTTGAAATTTTCTGTTGCCGCTATAACAACAAATACGATAAAATAAAATAAAACAATTTTTGAGTGGAGCTCCCATATAACAGAAATGATTTTTTTTGCGGTTTTAATATAAAAGGGTAAGGGATCCTTCGTGCGCGAGTCTGACTCGCGCTTGGCCGGTTTTTTTTTTACGTTCACAACGATGTCCCTGATCTGATGCGATAAACTCACCACCTGTCACTTTGAGACGTGTTCTGAAGATAAGTAAGGTGTAATTAGCAATTACTGTCCAGTATCTACCCCCATAAAATATGATTAATTGATATGCGTACTCGTCTTTTGCGTAGCATATTAAACGATAGCGACAAATGTAAAGTCTCACGATACCTGTCTACTTATAAAAATGTTATTATCTTACTCTAATTGGTAATCCCAGGTTCTAATAAAGATGACGTATTTGACCTTATAATCGTAATGAGTTTATCAGTTAACTGTGAAGTAATTTCTTTAACAAATTTCCTTTTACTGCAAATTATCTCTCCAATATCACGAATATTTTTATTCAGGACTTTATTCAACGGTGTTTTCTTCATTTATTTTAAAATCATACAAAAATTGTTTGCGGAAACCATCTGTCCCGAGTTTTTAATTTAATAATGTGGCCCCATATTAAATTCATTGGTATGAGGCTCCGGAGATACTTGGGGAAGTAATTCTTGAAAATCTTGAAAATCAATTATAAAATTAATATAGATCAAGATCTTTGAAGTCGGTTTTATTTTTCGTTATCAAAAATGGACTTTTTTGTTGTTGATTATTCAATATCAGCTGTGGTGCACAACAAAGTATATTTCATTCATTCGTTTATTTATTTATTTATTTATTTATTTATTTATTAAGGTACACCAACAGCATAACATATACTTACATTAAATATACATATATTTTCAGTCAGTTTGAGGTTTTGTTCTTATATTTACGCCAATTATAGGTATACACAACATTTACGATCTAAGTACCTAAAAGTAAAACAAAAATTAAAATTTTACATAAGAATTAATAATAAAAACTAGCTATATATTTTAAGTAAATTATGTATGAGAAGACAATAAAAGTACAAGTAAGAAAAAAGAGAATTCATTTTAAATGTTGAATGAATGAACGAACGAAATTAATAATAATTAATTTAGTTCGTTCATTCATTCGTTCATTCATTCACTCATTCATTCAACCGTTCGTTCATTCATTCATTCATTCGCAGGTATGTACCCCTGCCACAACACGGGCGGGAACCAGGAGTGGCGGTACGAGAACGGCCTCATCCGCCACAGCGGCCTCTGCGTCTCCCTATCGGCGGACGACCGGGTGACCGCCGTTCTAGCCGCCTGCGACGCCACCGACGACGCGCAGATGTGGAGGCGGCACGGGCTGATGATAAGGCACGCCAAGCTGAACGCCTGCCTCGACTCGGACAGGCCAGCGCTGTATTTAGAGCAGTGCGACGAGAGCAAGTTGAGCCAGCAGTTCACGTTTTAAGCCTCCCTTGCAATGATCACTAAATAATATAAAACAAAGTAGTCACGCTGTCTGTCTGCCCCTATGTATGCTTAGATCATTTAATCAACGCAACGGATCTTGATGCTGTTTTTTTACGAGATAGAGTGATTCAAGAGGAAGGTTTATATTTTCTTTTTATGCGCGCGGGTGCAAAGTACTATACATATAGTACTTTGCACCCGCTAGTATAATACAAGTACGAGGTAGATGTGACACTGGCGCACCGAAACTGGGCCACTGAAATTACGCCAATTGGTGCGATTAGACCGCAACTCTATAGAAGGTAGATGGGGATCTGAGCCACTCAAATTACGCCAATTAGTGATTTGATTCCAACTGCTGTATAAACTGCTACCTCTCTCCGTATATACGTTCTATATCATCTGTCGCATTCACTTATATATGTCATTTATCGTAATTTTTAAACGCCGCGCAATATGGACACGCGTCATCTTTGTTAAAACATTGCTCCCTTGTCTAGTCTCGCGCCCTTCGCGACGTCTGAATATGAAGCCGTATTCACGATTACAATTCGCTATTTTTACGTCCGACTGATACTTGATGATTTGGTAGGTCTGAGAGGAATCTCGCGGCTTTTTGTTGTACTTATTATTTTATTGGTTACTCTAGTACATAGGCATTAACGGGCGATGAAAAAGATTCAACACGACATGAAAATGATCTTTCACTATATTTTAATGAAAGGAAATTTTAACATAAATTCATGACAAATAATCAAATCAAAATCTATATAGTCAGTACTTTAAAGTTTTCTGATCGAGATGGAATAAGTAACTTGTTCAATTGCATGTCTACGAATATGAAAACGTCAAAAAAATTACCTACCTAATGTAATAAGAAATTCTAAATCATTATTGTTTTTTTTGGAAATAAGTTTATTTATATCGATAGTCGTTTCTAGATGCGAATTTTTCTCAATATAATAATGAAATCGCTATTTGGGCTAACATGGATAATAAAGGATGCACTATAGACTTTAAAAAAAATTCAAGGAGAAAATCTTAATATATTATAGTTACCATAATTTGTAAATACGTAGGATAGATCACTGTAAGTGCCGGGAAAGTGGAATGGAGATTAGAGATATGCATTAGGGATATAAAACACCACATTAATCTAAGGAAAGTGAGAGAATGATAGATATAAATTATATTAGTAATTGTGTAAGTTATTACGTATCAAAGTAATTTATCACGTCGAAGGTAAAAGAAAGCATTCTCAGAGTTGTCGATCCTCACTCAGTCGTATAAGAATTTTGTGTTAAACAAGTTACTGTAATTTTCATATATGTTGTCTTGAAGTTACATAATATGGTTATCGGGTACAGCTAAATTATTATATTTAAATACAAAACACCTTGCAATACTTTCTTTACAGAAAGTTTCAGATTATTCTAAGATTATTATAAGTTAAAGATTCAACTTGTAAAGTAATCACCAACGTATCTCGAGTTTGTATCCTGCAGAGCTATATTCTAGCTAACAAAGTCACCAATGAAAATGGACAATATCAGTTTTAAACATACAGCTCATTTTAAGGCATATTTTTACTAATGTTACATTATGTTTTGAGTTTTATTAAAGTATTATATTTTATATGAGTTTTAGTTTTGTACAAATATTATATTATTGTTAATTTTTGGTTCTTTTAAGGGGGAAAGAACTCTTTTTTTTTTTTTAGATTAAAATTCTTTGTTTTATGATCCCTCTCTTCATCGTACATTTTTAGATTTGATTTTAAACTATTAAGTGTTTAAGAATACATATAAGAACCTCGCTTTTCGCTTGACCAATCCATCCACGATAAGGAATTATATTATTTTTGCAGTTAATTTGAAAACATCACTGCCAATAGTTTAATGTTTTTGTTGTTACATATGACTAACTATTTAGTTTTGTTTCTGTTTTGATATTTCAATTGACAGATTACATAAATAGTTTTAATATTATTTCAATACGTACGTATAATGTAAGGCATTTGATTAATTTCTATCATTATTCTTCTGTTCTTTTCTGCCTATATTTAATCTGTACTTATGTAATAAATTCTAAGTGATTGACATTCCAATTTCTAACAGAGTTATCATATATCGCAATTACTATGTATATAATTGCAATAAGTTAACAGTTCAGTAGTATATAATATTATCATCTAGTTGACAATTTAAATACCTAGAAAAGATCTGTATTATGATTTTATAAGGCTTTCATTTCTCTACTGATAACGTACTTTCATTCTATTTCATACTCTTTCATTTCTCTACTGATAACGTACTTATCGTTAAGAACAAATGTTTATTTTCAAGATTAATAAGCTGGAGAAAATAAATTGATGTCATATTAAATGAAACTACTTTACGGATTTTATCGCGTTTTTTATTTTAATTTTAATTCCCGACGTTTCGAACCCTTTCCAGCGTTCATGGACACGGAACAAATCCGTAAAGTAGTTTCGTTTAATATGTATAATATTCACGTAAAATCAAGAAAACAATAAATTGATGTCATGTTAAAGAAAATTAAGCACCAAGAGCACAAAGTGAGTAGTAGAAATTTTAAATAATTCAAAAGCATTTTATCGTCCTTCGGATCTAGCAACACTAAAGTACTCGATTATAAGATGAAACACGTGACTTTCCTAGTCATACCTCTTTGAAAGTTACAATATCGACGTCTGTAATGTTAAGAAACTGGTGATTTTATTTTTGTGTGATATGAAGATATTGTTTGTAACAAATAAATGCGAAGGATTTAAGAAATTATTATTTTATTTCAGAAAAATTCCTCCCCCCTCCAAGATTTCATAACACCCAATACCAATTAATACTATTACTAAATTTATGAAGTCCAAATCTTAAGTAATAACTTAAATGATACATTTGTGGGAGATTTAAAATCCTTATATAAAATCACAGTTATATTATATAGTCGTCAACTTTAAAGCTGACATATAAACTGCAATGGCTACTTTAAAGCTGTCATATAAACTGCTACAATGTTATACATTTACTTCTATTTTGTCACAACTTGCAAATAAGAGCCTTTATATTTTTAATAATAAAAAATATAAAGAAGCAGTAATACCTATTTAACGCCTCTGGCAACATCCTTATACATTGTTTTTTTTTTTTAAATTAGGATATTAAAAATTGGTAGGTAGGTGCGAATAGCAGTAAATAATGTGTTTCATGAGAAGAATACATTTAAATTTAAATACCGAATATATCAAATAATAATTTAAAAAAACACGTGATCGAGTCGTTACATTATAATAAATATTGAACAGTGTTAAAATTATTAATATTTGTTTTGCTTCACATCGATATTTTTCCAGAATATCATCTGCTTTTTTCAAAGACAACATTTATGAACAACTATTTAAGAACATTACCATTTAATTTTATACAATCTACATATAATTAAACCACAAAAATAAATCGAATTTTGCGTTCTATGATTACTTCCACAAATTTTAATCAATATTTTATAATGGATGGCACTTTTTGATTTAGAATCAATTTCTTAAAAATTGACAAATTCACATTTGAATTAACATTGTTGATAACATTTAGCTGCTACCTATATTGATGGTATAAAAAGTATGAAAAACAAACTACGCATTTCAATTTAGTAAACAAAACACTGCGAATTTTTCAAAAATTGATAAGGGAACGTATTAATTAAATTACTAACATAGTGCAAAGGTTTCAGAACAATAAACGTATAGTGTAGAATAGTTTTAAACATTATAATACAATAAAATATTTCGTATCACAAATTTTTAAGCTTTTGGCACTTTTCAGGTAACAATTTTGACCGGCGGATCCGGTAAATATAAAAAAATAAACATTGGTGCAAATAAATTCCCGTTGACTATATTATATAAAAAGGTGATATTTCTGTCTCCATTCTCTTATTTAACTATCACAAAAACTGGTCCCTAGTTATAAGCGCAGTCACAAACGCACGGACACAAGGAGAGACGTCCCATTTTGTTTTATGACGATGGAGACACGCTGATTTTGCTCTTTACAAATCTCCCGATGACCTTGATCGCCCGGAAGGCGTAATTGGGCGACAGCCGCTGTCGCAAAAGGTAATAGCCCGCTGCGTGCATAGCGACCAGCATGAGGAACAGCATACCGATATCCATCCAGAAAGAGATGCCGGACATGCCCATCAGTTTGACGAAGTAGCTGGAGAAAAGTTGGCCGTCAAAGAAAGAACAATTTAAAAGATACGGTAATTTTTTAAAAGATGTAATCTTTATTGAAAGAAGAAGTAATTTTTAAGAGAAGTAATTTTTATTATAAATTATCTGCACTTAAGTTGAAATTTAAAAATTTTTAGATAGAATATTTTGTAGAATTGGACGAAAAGTTTAATCATTGATGTAGGACGTTGTATAAAAACGTTGTTTGATTGGTATTTTCCAATATTCAGATATAATAACAAATGAATAATAAAGTCGCTTATAGGTCGAAAGGCTATAACAACACCTGTGTAAGTTTCCATCATGATAATATTTCTGTCATTATAGTTTCAAATATTACACTACAACGTGAAGCTCCACTTTCAAAGACGATGTATTTATTTACACCATCTGTTTAATTTCTGTTTATTTTCTCAGCCTTATCTAATCGTTTGCTGTGTTGGATTATCAACACAGAATTGTCGATCGTAATTTTGCAAATTAAGAAAGAACAAGTTGTCATTACAACATTATACTAACAATAATGTCCGCCAATCCGCAATGCGGTTGCGTGGTGGATTATGCCCTTATACCCTATGTACAGAGGGGGTCTTTGCACAGCAGTGGGACATATAATTATAGGCTCTTACTTTACTTTTTACTTGTGTTGATTCATAGTCTTAATATACTAAGGAACTTGTGAATTTTGAAAAAAATACACGACGATCTGGACTGAGCTGTGTTGTTAAACACAATGACCGCATATACGGGTAAGTCCGTCGAGAAAATATCGCTGGATCTACCGAAAACCAATTTTTCTCTCCAACTGACGCAATCTATTGATCTGGGATCTTTGAGAAGACCATTCGCAAGATGCACTCACTTCGGGTTCTTATATTCGCAGTAGACGACGTGATCTGGACAGACGAGGTCGTCCCGGGGCGGGCCGTAGATCGCGACTATTAGGCCCTCGAGGCCGTAGCGCATGAAGGAGCAGGCCCTGGCAAGCTTCCAGAGGATCGGCGGCGAGTGGTCACCACTGCCGATCCCGTAAACCGCCAACAGCATTAACGGCACGCTGAGCACCGGACCCATGAAGACTGAATTCTGCAAGACATCGATGAAATTCTAATCGCTTCTCGAATAAATTTTTTATGTTTGGTTTTGCCGGTAGACAGTTGATTTTTTAACTGATGGGAAAAATTGATAGATGATAAATGTTATACGACCGTAGTCAATGAGTTACGATTCACTTTATTAACAATTGGGATGATGAAAGTATGGTATATTTGAACGTTACCAACAATTTAAAATCCTAACGATTGATGAAAGAAGGGTAAACCATATAACAAAAAACGAAGCGCAAATACTAACTAACGCGGGTGTATTGACATGTCGTAAAGAAGTATGAGGAAGTAGCGAACATTCAAATCTATGCTAATTCCTTCGGTCTAATAAACATCTTTCATGATTAAGTTAACACGCAACAATCATTTGTTTATAAATTCAACTTATTGTTTGTTAACGCCTGAAACATTATCCCTCTATCAATCATCCTAATAGACTTCTTCGTGCTCTTATTTAGAACAACTGCGATAAAATCGGATTAATTAAAGCATTCGCTTGCAAATAATAAATAGTTGTACCGAATATTCATAAAACTTACGACAACGCTTAGACTAGACGATATCACAGTTCCCATGCTCTCCGATATCAGGGCAACCATAATGCAGACGGACATGAACATAACGATTCTCGGAAGCTCCATTGGCTGCGACGTCAGTGGGTACACGATGGCCAAGTAGATCAGGGAGAAGAATATAGTTGCCGGTGTGCGGGACACCACCAGCGCCGCGTAGTAGGGCTTCAGGCCGTACCAACGGTTAAAGTACTCCCGTTTTATCAGCTGCACCTCTTTTGGGACTGCAAACGGGAGAACGGTGTACTATATGAAGTGAATTTATAAATACTCCGCTTTGTATATTGATTTTTTTAATTTTAAGCGACTATTGAACATGTCAATTGAAACTAGTTTACCGATTTTATCTCGTTATAATTTTGATTTTTAATTCCCGACATGTCAAACCCTTTCCAGTTTTCATGGTCACGGTACAGACTGTCGACAGGAATTAAAAATAAAAATTAAAAGGCAATAAAATCGAAAACTAGTTTCGTTTAACACCCTACTTTGGATTATTACTTCCTTATTTATTTAAAACGCCAAACTTTTTGATCGTATTTTGTCCCTTATCTATTTTACGGAAGTGTAATACATGCAATTAAATTATAAATCACTTTTCCTTACCGTTGATTTTGTTGAAAATCATTTGAACCCTCGTGAGAGGCATTCTTGTTAATTGTACACATTTTAAGAATCAATGTCAGTTCCGTGATTTCATAGTGTAGATATCAAAGTGGTACATGTAAAAAGTAAATTAGTTAGTTAATCAGGTTTCTGAATGAAATTTGTCATTACTCACAAGCCAACAATATGGGCATCATAGGAACGTAAAGCATTGCGATGATGCACGCGTAGCAGAAACCGAAGTTGAATATAGTCTTTGAAGCGTCATAGCCGATCTGGTAAAACAGCAGCGCAATTGTAATGCCCAAGAAGAAGTGCAGCCCGACACGAAGCCATAAGTAATCCTGGAAGAAATTATAAAATTTTGTAATAACTGCCTTTACCAAATGGTTAACCCAATGATTGTTGTCGCAATTGGAGGCCCCTTTTAACCGGTTTCCCACATAAACGCAGTGGGACATAGGGCTTAGTAGCCGTGGCTTGGTCTCCCACGTTAAAGTCAAAAGGAACCCCCATTAGTTGGCCCCACTCTAAATGCTTGCAGAATCAGTGTAGGGACAGGTTGAGGCTACTAGAAGATAACCTCTCTCCCTATCTTAAAAAAGTAACCTATACATTCCCCCTGGGCAAAGGCCTCCTCTTAAGGGTTCAGGGTGGACCCATCTTGGAGGACTTCAAAAGGAGTTTTATTGCGTAGCGGCTTAATGCGGAGCACGTGGCACTTAAATTAAAAACTTCATTGGTGCCGGGGGGGGGGGGGAATTAAAAGCGAGCGGAGAATGAGCTATCACTGCTCTTGAGGTGGAATTAGTTTTAGTGGCGGCTAATGCACAGCAACAGGAGACCAGGTCAGCTCTGCTATCAGGGAGGTTTGCGGCTTTTAGCACTTTGCTTCTTTTGAACGCAAAAGGCAGTGAAAAAAGACACGCTTCATGATTCCAGATATAAACTTTACAGTGAATTCGGCTCCCACTCTCGGGAGAACATTCCATTTGATAGTTAAAATCCAGGCAGCGATGCAATTTCCCAGTCGTGATGTTATTATCAGTAACATGTATTATTTAAAAATATGAACAATGGTTTGCGGCCAATTATCGCCATAAACTGTTCCCGTTTATTACAATTTTCCATTACAAAGATTTTTAATTATAGCGGTGATGGTTTACATTTAAAGTACATATGTATTTAAGCGCTTTGTTCATGTCTGAAATTAGCGCGCATACTACACACTAACGCACGCACACACGGAGGACTCGGTGGCCCGCTTTCGGGCGTCTCCGCATCTAACTTCGGGTCGAGCACTCACCGACCAGACGGCATTACAGCGACACGTGTAAAATTATCTTGCATTAAATTTTATACATTTTAAAGTTGAAGCTCATTTACTTTCCAACAACGGACATCGCCAAGAACCTTCCTCCCCATTTTGGACCTACGAGCCGGATGAAGATCAAGTCTGCCAGCGCCCGTTTGTAGGAAGATTATTCTACGGCGAGCATCATTGTTCAAGTTTGGAAATTCTAGCTTTGGTGAAGTCATCGAACATAAAACGAAGTGCATTACGTTTTATGAAAAAAACAAATATCGTCGTGGGCATTATAAACGACGTTAAATACGATCGTCGTCGTTGACATTATAAACGACGAGGGTAGATATTAATCACATAGAGGACAAAGGGACACCTACCAATAATTGTGAGTTCGTTCCATGGCATATCTTTTCCTAGTTCCCATTTCATTAAACAACCCTTATATAATTCATTTCTATCCAAATTAATTTCCATTATTTCTCGATATTTCCATTATTTCTTGGTTCATATTTTCCGCTAATCGTTTATGAAATAATGATAAAACCTTTATGTTAACAAATTTTACGTAACATTAAAATAATTCATGATTAGAAACATTAAATCTAAGCTATAATAATTGCTATCCACTTCATAATTATATATAGTATTCAAACGTATACTAATAACTTTATTGTTTTTATTGCTTTACTGTATAAAAAATCCATTACATTTAAATTCAGTAAATATTAAAATCGAACTATATTTAACGATTTTCTCGCAAATACTTTGCAATTTGTGTAAATTATATTTCAGCAGCGATCGCTAGTAATTCGGGGCGAGCGCCGCGCGAGTCTGTCCAGTCACCGTCGCTCGCCACGTTTCCAGCTACGACTACCAACGTCACACGTCACTGCCGTCGCTTGCTTGCTGGCTTGCAGCTGCATTTTTTCACCGCCCTTACTCTGTCTTCCTGCACTGCACATATTAATTTAAGTATAGCTTTCTTTTGTCGTTGCACTTGGTATTCTTTTATTTGCTTTTTCTTTATTTTTATATACCTTTGTTTTATATATTTGTTAAGCAGTAGAAAGCTTGATTATTATAATATATATATTATTTTCTAGTACCATGTCTCAATTAGTCGACCTAAAACGTAAACGTGGCTCATATAAAGCAAAGCTTACGCAGTTTAATTCTTATGTTGAAACCCTATCTACTTGCAAAAACCCTAGCAAAGTACAGCTTAATGAACTCAGCCTTAGAATATCAAAGATTCAAGAGTGGTATGGTGAATTTGATGTCTTACAGATTGAAATAGAAAGTTTCATGGATATTTCAGAAGCTGAGCGCGAGAAGGAGTACCAATATCGCGAAAAGTTTGAAATCGAGTACTTTGCAGCGGTCAGCAACGCAAATGAGTTGGTGAGCAGGTTTACTTCTGTGCAGCTGGGCAATGATAACGATTCGGCCGCCTCGGTAGCAGGTACTGTACTTACGGCAGGTAGATCAAATCTTAAATTGCCAACGATACACCTACCTGCCTTTTCCGGTCGTTATGAAGATTGGTTGAGATTTCATGATACCTTTACGTCGCTTATTCATTTAAATGATAATATACCTAAAATTAATAAATTCCACTATTTGCAATCTTCACTGCAGGATAGGGCTGCAAATGTTATCAATTCTTTAGATTTCTCTGCCAATAACTACGACATAGCATGGCAGCTCTTGTGTGACCGCTATCATAATAATAAAGTCCTTATTAATAACCATATTCAGGCATTATTTGACATTGAACCCATAACAAGAGAGTCTTCATTTTCATTAAGAAACTTGATCGATACATTAAATAAAAACATTAGAGCACTTCAAACTCTCAAAGTTAATACACAGAACTGGGATGTACTCATTATTCATATGGTTTCTAGTAAGTTGGATAATGTTACAAACAGAAAATGGAGAGAATACACAAATAATTTAGAACACATGCCAGATTTGGAATGCTTTATTAAATTTATAAAAAATCGAGCCGAACTACTAGAAACCATAAACCAAACTCATGTTCGAAGAAGACACAGTGAACCAATTAGTTCACGGCCGCGTGCATTAGTCGTTAAAACACTTCATTCATATTCATGTCCAAATTGCAAGCAAAATCATGCTATTTATCAATGTCCTGCGTTCAAGGCATTAACTACTGAAGCCAAGGTTACTAAGGCGAAACAATTAAAACTTTGTGTTAATTGTTTACGTCAGGGACATAGAGTAGAAAAATGTAGATTTGGTCCCTGCCGAATCTGCGCTAAGTGGCACAATACCATACTGCATAGTGACGATATAGCAGTGCCCGCGCAGTCTGGTGGCTACCAGTGGCAAACCCTGCCCCACTGTAAGTGATAAGCGCGTAACGTTAGCTGCAACAGCGCAGGACACTGAACTAGATAAACATGCTTTGCATGATGAGGATACACAAGACATACATGTCGGTTTGTCTTCTACTCATAACGGATGCATTCTTCTGTCCACAGCTCTCATTGACATATTAACTGGTGATGGTAAGCGTTACACTGTTCGCGCTTTACTTGACAATGGTAGTACATCCAATTTTGTAACCGAAAAATTGTGCAAAAGGCTTAATCTTTCTGTCCAATCAACATCAGCTGCAGTAGAAGGGTTAAGCCGTGAAGCGATACGTATCTCTAAACGTTCTAATGTCATCATCTCATCGCGCACTGAATCCTATACAACTGAAATTTCATGCTTCATCATACCACATATAACTCAAATGTTACCAACCACATACTTTGATATTGCCTCATTAAACATTCCCAGTGGTTTACGTTTAGCCGATCCTAACTTTAATTCGCCATCTGAAATTGACATGTTATTAAACGCGGACGTTTTTTGGAGTACATTAGGCAGTCAACGTATTATATTAGGTAAAAATAGGCCGATTCTTAGTAATACTAAATTTGGTTGGCTAGTTTCTGGTGCCATAAATCAGCAGAAATTAAAAAATAATAATACGCGCATTCATACAGTCCATTGCAATTTTGTGAATGAAGTCGAGCTTCAACAACAACTAGATAGATTTTTCGAATTAGAATCGATACCTTCACCTCGTAAGACAACAAAACAAGAAGACGAGTGTGAACAACACTTTATTGCGACCACCATTAGACAGGATGACGGACGCTTTATCGTACGAATTCCGTTAAAGCTATCGCCAGACCTATTGGGTGATTCGTATGAGCAGGCGCTGACAAGATTACTGTCTTTAGAGAGAAAATTTAAACGTTACCCAGAACTTAAAAGGAAATATTTTGATTTTATTCAAGAATATATTGATCTTGGTCACATGTCTGCAAGTACGAATAACAAAATATCAGATGAGAAGTACACTTATATACTTCCTCATCATGGTGTACTGCGTGAATCCAGTCTCACCACCAACTGAGAGTCGTTTTCGATGCCTCGGCAAAAACTACAAAAGGAATATCTTTTAATAACATTCAATATATCGGACCGACTGTACAAGATGACTTAATTTCCATTCTAATTCGTTTTAGACAGCACCGATTTGTTGTAACTTCCGATTGCGAAAAAATGTATCGTTGCGTACTTGTTGCAGAAGATCAACGATGCTTGCAGCAAATACTTTGGCGATTCGACCCTAGTAAAGAAGTTAAATTATACAAACTCAACACCGTCACTTACGGTACAGCTTCAGCTCCCTATTTAGCTACGCGCTGTCTTGTACAATTAGGCCAGGAGTGTACTGATTTATTAGTCCGAGAAGCTATACTACACGATTTTTATATCGACGATTATATCGGAGGTCATGAGTCTTTATCTACGCTTTCACACATAATCCAAGGTGTGATTGCAGAGCTGAAAAAGGGTCAATTTTATTTGCGAAAATGGCGTTCAAATTGTCCTCAGATTCTAAATAGCATACAATGCGATAGTAATGATGAAAAATTGCTTAAATTAGTTAATGATGATCACGCCAAAACTTTGGGTCTAAGATGGTCTTGTAAATTGGACACTTTACATTTTTCGGTCAATTCTGACTCATCACATCTTAAGCCGAGCAAGCGGTCAGTTTTATCTACAGTTGGACAAGTATTCGATCCGTTGGGTCTTGTTAATCCGTGCATACTGCAAGGTAAGATTATACTGCAGAAACTATGGGCTTCTAAAATTTCGTGGGATGAACCACTTTCTCCAGAAATTGAGAAAGATTGGTTTGCCTTTGTTGAGTCATTACCGCAATTAAACAATATTTCAATACCACGCCGCGTAGTATGTAACTCGCCATCAATAATCGAAATTCACTCATTTAGCGACGCGTCCTTATACGCTTACAGCGCATGCACATATTTACGATCTATTTCTGCAGATGGAAGCATCACTGTTAATTTAGTTATGGCAAAAAGCAAAGTAGCCCCCTTAAGGGTATGACTGTGCCACGATTGGAGCTATGTGGCGCTTTACTAGCAGTACGGTTGTCAAAAAAGGTTACCACTGCTTTAAGATTGAAAGTAGATCGTAGTGTCTTTTGGTGCGATGCAACTATTGTTTTGGGGTGGATTCGAGCTCCTAAATCGACATTAAAAACGTTCGTTCTAAATAGAATCAATGAAATAACAGAAACCTCTGCCCCTGAAGCTTGGCGATACGTACCCACCGATCATAACCCAGCCGATATTGGTTCAAGGGGATGCAACGCCAAACAGTTACAGAGTTCAAGCCTCTGGTTTACCGGTCCACTATTTCTGTTGCAGAACGAGTCTCACTGGCCCGCTCAAGCGAACTATATTAGCGACTTGCCCGAGACAAAAATTGAGTGTAAATTAGCTTCTGAACAATTTAGACTAGTTGATAGGTATTCTGATTACGGTAAATTACAACGCGTCACAGCATATTTATTAAGATTCTTTCATAACTGTAGGCAGCCTAGCGCAAAAATGGCTAAACATCTAACGGTATCAGAATTAAAGTCTGCTACTTACACATTATGCAGATTGGTTCAATTTGACATTTTCCCTAACGAATATTTACAGCTAAGTAAAAACAAATCGTTGGCACAAACTTCTCGCTTATTAAATCTCAATCCATTTATGTCTAATGAAAACTTAATAAGAGTTGGTGGTAGGTTGACTAATTCTAATTATGACTATGACACTAAACACCCGGTTTTACTACATGCCACACATCAGGTTACTATATTACTATTTAGATATTTCCATAAAATACTCCTACATGCAGGACCTCAACTACTTTTAGCCTCTCTGCGACACAAATTTTGGGTAGTAGGTGGTCGCAACTTAGCAAGGAAGGTAACGCATGAATGCCATGTATGTTGTAGGTTCACAGGCAAGTCCATTCAACCTATAATGGCTAGTTTACCCAAAGAACGGCTTCAAGGCGAATTTCCTTTTTATAATACTGCTGTAGATTATGCTGGTCCTATATGTCTGGCGGACAGAAAAGGTAGAGGGTGCAAATTAATAAAATCATATATTTGTGTGTTTGTCTGCCTGGCCGTACGAGCAGTTCATATCGAGTTGGTTACAGATTTAAGTTCCGAGGGTTTCATAGCTGCATTGAATCGATTTATAGCTCGCAGAGGTAAGCCTGCTAACATCTACTCCGATAATGGTACTAATTTTGTCGGAGCTAGCAATGAACTTTCAAAATTCCTTAAATCTAAGTGCAACGACATTAGTTCTTATGCAGCAGAGCAGTCAATTTATTTCAAATTCTCTCCGGCGTATAGTCCGCATTTTAATGGCCTAGCTGAAAGTTCGGTTAAGTCTATTAAGCATCACTTAAAACGAGTTTTATCTTTAGCTAACTTAACTTATGAAGAAATGATAACAGTTTTAATTCAAATAGAAGGTATCCTTAACTCCCGTCCACTGACTCCGTTATCATCCGATCCCAATGATTTGATTCCATTAACGCCATCCCATTTCTTAATTGGACGAACAATAACAATGTTGCCTCATCCTCAAGATGACCTAAAAAGGGAAGATCGTATCTGCACGCTCTCTCGCTACCAGAGAACACGAGCCCTCACAAAACACTTCTGGACCAGATATTACAAAGAATATATTTCAGAATTACAGAGACGAAATAAATGGCAGCGCAAAGACAGAGGAGAGCTTCGCATTGGAGATCTGGTGGTAGTAAAGGACGACCATTTGCCACCCAACCGCTGGCTGCTCGGACGAGTTGTTCATCTGCATCCAGGGAGCGACGGAATCGCCCGTGTAGCTGACGTTGCAACTTCATCGGGGACCATACGAAGAGCATATAATAGGCTTTGTCTCTTGCCGTCATCTGTTTAATTGGAACTAAACGTCCCAACCCGGGGATGTTGTTAGCGCGCATACTACACACTAACGCACGCACACACGGAGGACTCGGTGGCCCGCTTTCGGGCGTCTCCGCATCTAACTTCGGGTCGAGCACTCACCGACCAGACGGCATTACAGCGACACGTGTAAAATTATCTTGCATTAAATTTTATACATTTTAAAGTTGAAGCTCATTTACTTTCCAACAACGGACATCGCCAAGAACCTTCCTCCCCATTTATAATCACATAATATCAATTATATAAGGTCAAGGTATCAAAGCCTCAAAAGGTGAATTTTTATCTACCATCAACACGTCAAACCCAACATTAATTTAACATCCTAATTTATCAGAGTAATAGCTAGAATTAAACAATGATGACGTGTTCACTACAAAAAAAAAGATCTTAAATTATATACTTAAGCACACATTAATGTGTCACGCATGTTTGCAAAGTTTCTAATTATCAGATTTAAATCTAAAATTTGCTTCCAGTTACCTTGAGTTGAACTTAAAATTTAAGAAAAAAAATTCTAACTTTATTATGTAGATTTGACTGTGGCAGTGCCTTTCTCGCATGGTCTTTCCTCAACGCTTCCTGATGACGTACTATATTTTCGGTAGCCAACTGATAAATTAAACAACACTTACCGTCATCAAGTTCCAGCAAAGCACGAGCCGGTTCGCGGTAAGAAGTGGCAAATGTATACAATTACCAAAGTCCGCGGGGTTGTACGTCTTGGGGCATGGCAGCTGTAGCTGCTTCAAGAAGGGCACCACCCCGGCCGAAGTACCCTGGTAGGCGCATCGGCCGTCCGCCACCACGTACACGTGGTCGAAAACGGAGAAGAGCCGCGCGACGGCGTGTGCAGCGAACAGACCACCGTTCGACCACCGCGAGCCACCCGCTTCAGCAGAGACACGCACGTGGAGGAAGCCACGTCGTCCAGACCCCTGCCGCATTGGAATTATTAAAACTTTCTTAAGACATTGTTGATGTGATAATAAGACGGCTGAACTCAAAAAATAACCTGTTGATTATTGACTAACATGACAACCGATGTGTCAGGGTTATAATAAGCGGGCTGAACTCAAAACCGAACTCACGTTAAACCGTTGTATGGCTTAACTCTGATCTCTCATGCAGAGCGAGAGTGGACGCGACCGTGAACTATCCCCATCCTTCATCGTGATGAAGGACATCCGATGGGTCCAAAACTAGTCGGTACATACGCCGGTTTAACGTGAGCTCACCCGTCTTATTACCCTGCTACATTGGTGGTCAAGTTGGTCAATAAAATTATTAAAATTTGTAGAAAAGTGGAACGAAAAGTTTTTCGCCGCTGTGGGAATCTAACCCACGTCTTCGGGATTCGCGCCCTGACGCTCTAGCCACTAAGCTAAACGGCTGATTGCTACACCGACGAAATTCTCAATGTCCTTTTATCTACATTGTTCTTTAGCATTTGAATACAATGAATATTCACTCGATTGAAGTTAACGTTAAGAGTTGAACTACAGTTTTGGATGCAGCAACTCTCGCTGTTTCTACCTACCCTCGCACCTACGAGCAAGTTCACACGGAGAATGACGCCTTACAAAAGGCCATTCGAGAGGTGAAGTATTATATACTGAGAAGTGAAGTATAATACAGGGTGGCTTTTCTAATCATTTTGTTTATTAAATTGTAGACATAAATAATGTTATATAAAAAACTAGCTGCTGCCCGCGACTACGTCTGCGTAGAGGGGTGAAAATGTAGGGTTGTATGTATTTTTGTATGCTGTGTCATAAAAAAATAAAAACAAAAAATTTTTCCTAAAAAATAAAAAAAAATTAGGGGTGGGTGTAAAAAATAAAAAAAAATTAGTGGTGGTGTGGTATCCTTAACATTTAGGGGGATGAAAAATAGATGTTGGCCGATTCTCAGACCTACTGAATATGCATATAAAATTTGGTAAAAATCGGTCGAGCCGTTTCGGAGGAGTTCAAGTTCGAACCCCGTGACACGAGAATTTTATATATTAGATGATAAATATTTGAAATCACTCGTAAGTAATTAATTACATTCATTTGAAGTTACCTCAAAAAGTGCGTCATTTATACGCAACTCATTTATTTTACACGCGCTCATTCATAACTAACACACACACAAGTTCGTGCACAGTAAAATTTAGTTATGTATGAATGACTACCGCATTGTCAACACGTTCTTTTTTTTTATATGAAAAGTTGCCGCTCGTTTGGCAATAAGGTTCACCTGATGTTAAGTGAATACCGCCGCCCATGGACATCTGCTACCCCTGAGGGTTTGCAGATGTTTTGACAACATTTTGAAAATTGGGCTCCGGCTACCTCACTCACCAGACGAGACGCGAAAGTATTTGTCATACTTCCACTTTACGCCGGTCTTCTGTGAGGTCGTGGTATTCATGCAACAGCGGAGGCTGCAGCGTGGCTCTACCACCGTTTGGCCCTACCACCGTTAAATTTTCTATTTTTTAGGGAATAGAATGGCATTTTTTTGGAAAAAAAAACTTTGTTTTTTATTTCAATGAACGATTATACTACCGAGTCTGAAAGCCTCCTGTGTAAATTTGGGCACTTCTCAAAAAATCTCCCTGTATAGTCTGGTGAGTGAGTTAACCGGAGTAGGTAGGTAACGCATCTACAATCCCTCAGATATTATAATTGCCCTTGACTGGCGCTATTCGCTTAGCATAAGGTAAACCATAGCAATAAAACATAGTAATATCGGCACCCAGCATCCGATTAGTTTTAATTTTCTACTTGGATAAGAGCCGTGATAGCTCAGTGTCCGGGCGCTCGCCTTAATTCAATGTATACTCGAGCAACCTGAGTTCGATCCCCGGTGCCGGCACCAATGAAGTTTTTAACTTTAAGTGTTGAATTATCACGTGCTCCGCGGTGAAGGAAAATATCGTGAGGAAACCTGCATATTTTCGGAATAATAACAAAAAAAATGTATATCGAAAATGTGTGAAGTCCGCCAATCCGCAGTGGGGCCGCGTGGTGGACTATGCCCTGATACCCTCTGTATAGAGGAGGCCTTTGCCCAGCAGTGGGACATGTATAGGCTGTTACTTTACTTTTTTTTTTTTTACTTGGATAATATTGCATTTGCCCAATAACTTTCATCATGAAAAAAATCTTTAAAACAATGATTTAAATTAGTATTAAAGGCAAAGGCCTCCTCTGTACAGAAGGTATTAGAATATACTCCACCACGCGGCCCACTGTGGGATTAGCAACTCAAGAACAGCTCTCATACAGGAAATAAATAAGTACACGACAAAAAGTTAAGAAATAGTAGTTAATCACCAATCAGACATTAATTAGGTTCGTTACATTACATGATGTTAGTTTAATTACATGATGCCCCCTACCCGAGGCAAGTTATTACGAAGACAATGAAAAGTTCGTAGGCCAACACAACAACAACACTATACAATTACATTGTCTGTTTTTATTAATTACACTATACAATTAATCAACTCTGTTGCGAAACAAATTGCGAGCTTTTCTATTGTTTAGACAAAATTTACAAATTTGAAATATTTGTCGTCAAAACACTAACATATTTTGGTGTTTTGTTTCTAGATCTAAATGAAAGATTGTTTGATAGCTATCATAATAATGTAATCTCATATTAGTGTGACCAATACAATAGCACAACTTACTAAGGCATTACCGTGACTACTAAAATGCTACTACTCAAGATAAAGTTATAAAATCATGTCATGCGAAAAATATTCCTCTGCCTGAAATGCCGATTAAAGTAATCAAAAGCGAACATTAAACTAAAGCTGTCATAATTTAAATGAATCCTCCATAAACAAACGAATTATTGTCAGCTTAGCTTAGTAAATTTTAAAATAAAGACGACCTCGTAAGCATGCTTCCAGACTGGGTCATGGTGAGCAAGTGGACCCCCACATTCTAATTGACAAACATCATCTAAGCAAATGGTTGTTATGCGCTTTGCGAATAACATATCTGTTATCGGAAGCAGATCGTCAGCACGATTAATCCTGTAAAGAATGTCGTCATATTATTCTCTAGAACTAATCTTAAACTCTGCACTATGCAGTAGATATGTCGACATACTCCCAAAAGCTTTTTTAAGTCTCCTATAAGGTCTTCCCCGTGAGTACAAATCTAAACGTAGGTCATTAATAAATAATAATCAACTTTTCTGATTCCATAATAAACTATAAGTCTGTCTAGTGCGTCGTCTAATAATATTTGTATTTTATTATCATTTATTATTTATAAGGCAAAGTATCACAAGCGGTTCACCTAATGATAAATGGCCAAAATCGCACGTGGAGGTCGAACTCAAGAAGATTGCAAATGCATTTAAGATAGCAGGCCTTTGGGTAACTCATTTATTTCCAATTACTATTTCTTTAAATAAAAAGCTATTTTTTTTCTATTCGAACTTGCTTAGTTTCGCTAATTATTCGAGTGTGTGAATTGTACGCGTTTGTATGCTAATGAAATATATCAGTCGCGTCTTGACATTATGACATTGAAATTAAAATTTGGAGGTTTATGGAAGGCCAGCATTATTTGCTGCTACAAATATATACAAAAATCGGTAGCTTCAAACGGAGTAAAAAAAAATAGGAATAAAAATAATAAAGTCCATGCGAGCGGTTATCGCTTAACATCGGGTTAACCGCCGACTCGCTTGCCACATTCTCACTTAAAAAAAACCAGAAGCCTTGCCTTTGGTTTGGTTTGACTGCAACCCTACCGTTACTTGGAGCGCTTGTTCCTTGACCGTGTTCAAGCAAAAAAGTTCTTACGTGGTTGGCTCATCCAGGAATATCACTGGCGGGTTGTTGAGGAGTTCCAGGGCTATAGAGAGCCTCTTCCTCTCGCCCCCGGACAGCCTCTCGCTGGATGTGTCCCACGCCTTGTCCAGTCGAAGCAATTGAACTATTTCTTCGACCTGCAAAAGAAAATTTAACACAATTTACATTTTAACTTAGAGGTCATTTATTACTCTACTCTATCATATCACTACCGGTGTCTGTCTGTCCCTATGTATGCAAAGATCCTTAAAACTACGCAACGGATCTTGATGCGGTTTTTTTACTAGATAGAGTGATTCAAGAGGAAGGTTTATATTTATAATACATACCACCCGAGCGAAGCCGGGGCGGGTCGCTAGTTGTGTAATAATGTAAGCCGGACGCGATGCAGATTCAGTGCAAAAACATGTCGAAACTTGTCAATCTACTGGTGCGAAAAAGTGCTGATGGTATAATATTTTTCGAATTAAAGTTGCAGTTAATATTCTTATCTGCTAATTACTTACTTGTTATTACTAATTTTATATAAATAAGTAATTTGTAAATCATATACCTCAAAATTTCAATCTGAAACCAACGGAAAACGGTTATATGATGAGGCATTATTTTCGTATTTAAATAATAAATCTAAATTCTTATGCAAGAATTGTTTTCTTTTTCATCTTTAGCAAGCATTGTTAACATTCTTATGTTAGGTATGTAGGTAAGACGGCGAGATTTTCGCGCGGTGGGGATATCGACCGCTCGGCTTAGTGATTAGCGCATCTGGGTGCGTTACACGGTAGGGTCAAGTTCGAATCCACGCAGTGGCGGAAAAATTTTCTACAATTTATCTACACACTTTAAATATGTATTATTAAATAGAATAATATTTTTCTTTACATTGGTGCATATGTACCGATACATATATACGTATTTTGAAAAATGAAGTGCCAAATTAGAATTGCAAATTTTATTCACCTTACTACTGCGAATAAAATTTTGACTGACAACAAACAATGTATTGAACTTATTGAGAATACTCATTATTTAGTGTTCACTTTCATTAATATGTTTTGTCTGCAAATTTTATTTATTGTTGTAAGATTTTAATATTCTTGGTTATTTAAATCTTAGAAATACAAAATGCTTCACAATTCTCCTGTCGGAATAACTTTGTTCAACGCAATATTTTAAACAACACATTTTATAATACCAGGGAATTATGGTCTTGCTTGTTCTTTTTCCTATTTAAATTCTCCTTTGTATAATTATTTTATTTATACGGAACAGTAATTTTAACTTACCATTTTTACAAGTTTGCTGTAGGAACCATGCACAACAGGGGCGAAAATTTAAAATTCATAGGTATACGAATATCGAAATATTGAATGACGTAACATTAAAGAAGAAAAATAAATATGTTATCGGATTCAAGACGTGACGTAACATCCTAATGCCAATATCATATTTCTTTTTTTTACTCAAACTAAACACTATATTCATATATTATATCTGAACCTCATAGGCATACAAAAGTTTTTCTTACAGCATTAAAATCGCAAGAACCAATTCTATACAATTTTAAAAAGCCTACCACCCCTAATTAACAAAATATCCAATCGTATATGACATCATGATCAATAATGCATTCAAGGATTCACTCACCCATTTTTGCCTCTCCTGTAAAATTTATGTTCTGTCACATAATGCTATTTACCTCTGAGGTACCGATATTATATCCGAAAATAAGGTAATTCAGCGGATCATAATATGTTTTCTTATCCTAGAATTTCGTTTGCTTACCTCTGATATCATCATTTTTTCGAAGAAATGACATAAAGTAATAATTGAATATTAAAATAATTTTATGACGCATTTCGCACTACTCGTGGATACATAAACTTTTTTTTATTATAACTATGTGATCAACTGTAAGAATGGTTATATCGATGTTCCATCAAATTCGGTTATTTTTGTTTCAGATCTATTTTCTTTTGCGTTTCACTGATTTGAATAACTATGCATATGGACTGTATTATTAGAGAATTTAATTATGTAACATATATTTATTTATAAAATATAATAATAGAGGTGCGGCGCAGATCACAGACAAACATTACATTACATTACATTACGAGTATAACAAAAACTACTGGAGAGATTTCAATTAAGTCCTCTTATATTTATTTCTAAGACACTTATCTAAAAAAAATCGATATCTTCATTTAATGTGAATCTAGTAAAGTTTTAAGAAACAACGAGTTTTATAAGCAACACTTATAATTTGATGTTTGTCGGTAGAACGTTGTAGTTGTTAGTATATCTAATAAGCAATGCAGACGAAGTCGCGGGATTCCACTAGTATCGCTTATTTGCTTCGTCATCCCAAGTGCCAACTATTTGGTGGCCTCTATTTCGTCACCCGTTTACGATGTGCCGTCAACGCAAATGGAGTCTTTAACCATGTTAGGGAATCTAACAACAACTGCTGCACCATTCGCCATCCAAAAAGTGGTACCATGGCTGAACTGGACAGTCAGCCAGTTATGGGTCAGCTATAAAATGTCTAAGCGGAAGAGAAACTGCGAATTTAAAGTCTCAATGTCGAGTATTATTAATGGCTTGAAATAAGTTACGTTTTATAATACGAATTTAAGGCAAAACGTGTAGATTATTTTCCGTCCATAATTATTTTATTTTTCTGTATAAAATTAGTTGGTTATAATGTAGAGAACTGAATAGTCATACTGACATTGACGCCAAACGTTTATGAATTAAATGTGAAGGCAACTCATCATTGCTGTGCAAAATATTATTTTTAAAAATTCTCGCTGCGTCAGAAATGTGGCGGGTGCAGATATTTCTCTAAATCTATTAGAAGCTAAGGTTAAGTAAACAACAGCCTACTAATGCCTACTACGAACAGCCCACTTACTATATATGTTCCACTGCTGAGCAAAGGCCTCCTCTACAGAGGGTATTAGGGTTACTTAAGTATTTTACTTAAGTTTAGCTATTTAGCTTAGCTTCGGAATACATCAACCACGGGGCCCCACTACGAATTCTCGGACTTCTCATATATCTAAAATATTTTTTGTTATTATTTCTAAAATATGCGGGTTTCCTCGAGATGAGCTAATTTTTCCTTCCCCGGTGAGCACGTGATATGTCAGCACATAAAATTAACAATTTCGTTGGTGCCGGCACCGGGGATCGAACTCAGGTTGCTCGAATATATTTAATTATTTCATAGCACAAAGAGGTATCACGGTTCTTAAGTCTCACGAATTTTTTATTAAACGTTTACTGATTACGTAGACTGATATAACTTTGAGTAAAAACGCTTAGCTTTAGAACAAGTACTAAAGAAAGGTCAGACGTTGTTTCAATTTGGCAAAAAATAAAGCGTATAATGAATATAATATTTTATTCATTATACGCTTTTTCACATTACTGCTTATTAAACTTATGTCCATGGGTAGCGGTTATTACTTAACATCAGGTGAATCGCCAGCATTTTGGCCATTTTTTTACATTAAAAAAACCTAATTATACTTCAAATCCATGGAAGAGACACAAAGAAACCAAAGATATTTTAATGACTTAAATAAAACCTTGTTTTTTAATTATTAAAAAAAATTGCCCTAACTTTAGGATAAAATCATCCTGTGTTGTAAGGACGTTTTAAAAACCTTAATTTATCATCCGTACAGCTAAAGAATGGAATAACCTGCCGGCGTCCGTCTTTCCGTCCGATTAAAACGTAGGCTTCTTCGAGGCAAGAGTGAATATGTTTCTAATGAGGTAGCGTGCTTACCATCAACGGCTGCATTGCTATGGCAGTCATGTGCTGACCAGTTATGAATTAAAAAAAAGTTCGAGTGTGTAAACATCGAGCATCTTACGATGACAGTCTTCCTTCGCTTGGACATTTTGTTCCCCAGTTTCAGGTCGGCGGCCATTATCATCGCCTCTCGGACGGTGATCAGAGGCTGCAGTAGGTCCTCCTGCATGATGTAGCGCGACAGTTTCCTGAACTGCCTCAGGTCTCTCGGCTCGCCATTTGTTGAGATCACACCGCTGGCTTCGTTGACCCTGGGATAACGGTGTATTAGGAACCACTTACAAGCAATCAAATAGAGGGCTAGACTAGGCCATAACACCTTCAATATACAGAGGCTTTTTTCGCAGCAGTGGTACATATATATACGCTGTTACTTTACTGCACTTTTACCATGCATTGACTCTTATAAGTGGCCCTCCTGTAAATTGTGGTTAGTCTCAACGGAATCAAACGGATGACTGTAATTTCTGCGTGTCCGTTTTAACATTCGTCGGATGTTATTTCCCTTTTCAGTTTCTACATGTACACTATTTTGAATAGATTTACAAATAATTACAGTACAAGTACAAATAATTACAAAAAATATCAAATTAGTATCAGTCCTTACATTTGAAATTAGCGTTTTGTCGTACTGACCACTTTGATCTAAATATCATAAATATCACCTCTTTGGTTAAGAACTCCAAATCCAAATTTATGATTTCATTTAGCGAGTACATTGAGTTTGAAAACAGTTTTTTCCTCATTATTTTATTCGTTGGCGTCGCTTATTAGCGCGATACATTTACGAGTACGAGTTCTACCGTGGCACCAGTGCTGCAGAAACAGCTCGAAGGAACAATGATGTGTACGGCGCTAGTGTCACAAAAGAAAGCACGGTACGTTTTTGGTTTCAACGTTTTCGTTCTGGAAATATCGATCTTCGGAACCAACCCCGTGGACGGCCGCAGACCAAAGTGGAAAATGAAGAATTAAAGGGTATTGTGGAAGCGGATCCATCACATAGCACTTTAGAGATTGCTGCGGGCTTCGGGGTAAGTGATAAAACTGTATTAATCCAGTTGAAGCAAAACTCGAAAGTAAAAAAAAAACATGAATGATGGGTAACTCATGAATTATGTGAATCGAATTTGCAACACGCATCGACTGCTGTTTTATATTGCTCAACCGACGCAACAATGAAGGGATTCGAAATCGAATCATTACTTGCAATGAAAAGTGGATATTGTACGATAATCAGAAGCGCTCGTCGCAATGGCTGAACCCTGGAGACCCTAAACGAAAATTGACTCAGAGAAAGTTTCTTGTGAGTGTTAGGTGGACTAGCGTCGGTATTTTTCACTACAGCTTTCTAAAATCTGGCCAAATGATTACGGCAGATATATATTGTCAGCAAATGCAAACTAAGAAGGAAGAACTAGCTGCTAAACATCCGAGATTGGTCAATCACTCTAGGCCACTGCTGTATCTAGACAACGCAAAGCCACACACTGCACACCAAACAACCACTAAGTTAGATGAGCTACAATTGGAATGTCTGCGACATCCACCGTACTCTCCGGACCTTGCTCCAACAGATCACCATTTTTTCCAGAATTTGGAAACTTCTTACAAGGAAAAAAATTCATTCAACTCCGATGCTGCACTCCAAACCGCAAGAAGTTAATCGATTCTCGACCCCATGTTTTTTCGTGTAAAGAGATCAATGAATTACCTATGAGATGGCAAAAGTGCTTATTAATTAAATATATTTTAACGGTGGTAGGGCCACGCAACAGCCTCGGCTGTTGCTCGAATGGGCAGGCTCGTCTGGGTAAGTACCACGACCTCACAAAAGACCGGCGTAAAGTGGAAGTATAATACTTTCGCGTTACGTCTGGTGAGTGAGGTGGCCGGAGGCCAATTTTCAAAAGGTTATCAACGCATCTGGAACCCTCGGGTGTAGCAGATGTCCATGGGCGGCGGTATTCACTTAACATCAGGTGAACCGTCTGCTCGCTTGGCAATTTATCACATAAAAAAAATACTTTATATTCCTCCCATACAAAACGCTAATGTCATATGTAAAGATCTATTATTATATAAATATTAAAGAAATTATAGCCCGCTTTGTTTCTGATCTTATTTATATATTGCGCTTGACTAGTAAATTGTTGAGCGATTAGAAATTATGGAAATACTTCAACTATAGAGCCTATTCAATCTTAAAATCCCGACAACATTTTGCAGATCTAAATACGTAAATATTTATATATGAATATATATAAATCTAGGCTTTTGGCCTAGATTTCGCGCTATATACGAATATATAAAACGATATCAGACTAATGTGAAAATCCGGTAAAATTACAGCAATTAGTTATTTTAAAAAACATATAGTTTTTATTATAAAAGACATATAGCATTCAGTTAATGCCAAAAACTTGCGATGAATAATTAACAAACGCTTTAACGTCTTTGTAACAAAAAAAAACGATTAGTTTTTTCGTTTATTTGAGAATAAAACACGTATTTTTTTCAACGTCTCTTCGTTGAAAAAAACTAGTGTGTTTTATTCTCAGGCAAATGAAAAAACGACTGCATATTAGATGGTCTTTTTACCTAAAAATATTTGTAGGTAAAATGACCATCAATCATTTTGATGCCGTTATTGTAAAACCACTAGAAGACAAATGTCAAATTATGAAGACAAATGACAAGTGCTCTGTTATTATCGGACATATATTTTTATTTATCTTTCGCAACAAAACTGAATACAAAGTTCATAAACATCCAACTGTTCCAATAATTCCAAAAAGGTGCATTCTACTAGATGTAGACACAACATGCATCTAAAGGAAACAAAAAAAAGCGATACCTTAATAACTAATATAAACAGAGATGAAATTTAGAAACTAAAAAAGAAATCATAACTTAATTAGTCCTACTTGTATTGAATGTCCATCGTTACTTAACGATTATTTATCGTTTAATTAAAAATATTTAATAATATAAATAAATAACATTATAAAAATATTTAATGTTATTTATTTGTATTTATAATTATATTTTCGACCCATCTTTTATTACTCATGTAATTTCTACACAACTTAACTAAGTTACATGTTTGATTTTAAAAGAACGGTTTGAACTTAAACGAATATCATCAAAACGAGACAGACATACCTGTAACCAGCGAGCACGTTTAATAAAGTACTCTTCCCGGCGCCTGAAGGTCCCAAGATGGCGGTCAACTGTCCAGATTTGAACTCTCCGTTGATACCGCGAAGTATCAACTTTGAAACTGTAACAATTGATACAAATATTTCGTCATTCTTTCTTAATACAAATCACTCATATCTCTTCTTTGTTTCCGTGATGTCGAGAAGTTCAATCTCAAGACTTACTCCTCGTTTAATGATCTCCTCGTATAACTAAAAAATAATCTTAGATCACAATTATTACACGTAACCGGTAGTTTTTACCTCCAGACGATAATAATTTAGTCTCTCCAGATTCACCCTGAATTGTAATGAGTAAAGAAAAGTGCAAATACATTTAAAAATTCGTTCGTTAACAATACAAGAATTGGTTGCATATAAAATTAAGTTTTACTTGAATGTAAAATGAGTTTTTACAAATAAACGACCCAAAAAATTTTTTAGTTTATATTCTTTGTATTTTTGCATAACTTTTAATTCCTATCTAAATTCACCAGACCATAAAAAGAATAATGCATTTACTACTTAAAGTTAATATTGTTAAACGCAAAAAATTATATGCATATATCATGGTTATGGTCGGATATTGCAACCAGGCAATGGAAATTGTATTATTGGTAAATATTATAACGTATGCGATATAAATAATTGAAAATTATAAAATTTGGTTAACACATCAAATGTGTAACAATCGACACAATAAAACGCATATGTTGTCCACAGACAAAGTTGACAGATGTCGTATGATTTACAATCTGTGATAGTTCATGTTTACATACATGTTTACAATTAGTGTTAGTATGTAATTACTTTGGGTGTATGCGTACTTGGTAGCTTGGCCCGGCGGCCTGAAAAACTCGGGTACCAAGTGCTAAAAAGTGGTAAAAATAGTACTCATTATTCCGAAATTGGTTAAATAAAGTTAAATTAGATAAATTGTAATAAAAGGCTTTTATTATCATAGACATAAATACAAATTCTATAATTATTTCATTTTAGCTTTGTATAATATTTAGTTTCTTATTTGTAATACATAGGTGGCGTTAGTAATAAATTAAAACACACTATGGTTTGACCGTTGTAATTAGTATGAGGGTCCGCAAAAATTGTTGATTAAAAAAAAACTCAAGTCCGTCGGATGATCAAGTCCGTCGGATCTGTAAAGGCCCCTAAGGCCAACAGTGGCTCATCCAGCCCAAAAAAAAAAAGTTGATTAAAAAACTTGCAACGCGAACCTTGTTTATTTCAATTAGCCTTACGGACCTAAAATACAATCGCTTTGAATTTGTACCTGGTCCTTCGTTGCCGAATAGTCAGCCAGTGAGTAGAAGGCAGACATTCGACTCACGCGCGAGTGTTGTGAGTGAAGTTTTTTTGGAAAACCGAACTTGCGGACGTTGGATCGACGTCGCAACTGCAAGTTCCAGGAGCCGATCGAGGTTTCGAAGAGCATCATCGGTCAGCTTCAGATTGTGTCTTCGGTGGAAGTCAGATCACGGTGGGCGGTGCCTGCCTTTGGAGAAGAGGAAGTCGACACAGTGTCGTGCTCTGAAGTATTAGAGCTAGCACTGTCATTACTACAAAGATTATTATTGAATTTCATTAATTGTAATAGAATTATTACTATCATTGATGTCGTTATTATATATTTGTGTTATTAATGGCTTATGGTAACTGAAATACGAAATATATTGTTTACATTTTAGAATTAGAATAAAAATAAACCCTTTGATTTTGCTGATCACTTTAATATAACATATATATATATTGCTATGAACCCAAAAGGAAACTAACGCCATCTAGCGTCAACTATTAAAACCACTTAAGAATAAAGACGACATAAAAACCCTTTTCAACACTAGATGGCGTTAGAGGAACATTTTAAGATAAAGAAAAGATGGCGCGTAACGGAAAAATGTTACACTAAATTTTTTTCCAACCCCGATAAAGAAGTTTCACGTCAATAACTATTAATAATCAATATTGCCAGATACTCCCCGTCGGTAATATAATCTGCTTTGTCGAGATGTGAATCATATACAACGGTGTGAACTACAATAACCACATATATTGTGAAAAATATATATATAATATAGAGGCGAAGAAGATTTAGAGGATTTACGACAAGATATTTTGTCTTTGTTGTGTCGAAATAAAATGCTGAAATCTAACATTCCTAGAAACGTATTTAAAACGGTAAACAAGTTATGCAATAACAAACAGTCAAGTCAACTGTCGATCTCAACAAACAATTCTTCAAAAAGTTTTTTTATGCAAGAAGAAGGCAAGCTAGCTGGTGGTTCACCTGATGTTAAATCATAACCGTAAGCTAGTAGCAGTATAATACTTCCACTTATCGCCGGTCTTCCGAGGCGTTGGTACTTCCCGGACGGACCTACCCATTCGTGCCACAGGGAAAGGCCTACCCCGGTAAAAGTTAAATCAAGAAACACTAGAAATCGATGACACTTCAAGTGCCTAGCCACCATTATTGTATGAATTGCCTAAAGTACACAAAACAAACACTCTGTTGCGCTATTGTGTAAACCGCAAGACCAACAGGCTGATAAAAAGCCCACCATCTAATAAAAAAACCTCTCACCACCAAGCAGAAACAAAAGGGCGTACGTAACGTAACGTAACCATTTTGTTAGTGAAATAAAAATCTCTGTTTTGCTGACAATGAAACAAGGTCAAGTTTGATGTCCAGTCTTTATTTACATCGTCCAATAGAAGACGGCGTCTCAATTATAATTAAAAACATCAAAAGAACAGTATGCTTTAATTCTTAAACATCGCGTCTGGCTATTCGCTCTGGAAAGAAGGACGTACAGATGGTGTAGCAATGGGATGTATAATGTGTTCCATTGTTAAAATGTGTAGAAAAACATCCAACATTTTACCAGGCGTGTTAGTATCTTAAGTTTTACAAGAGACCGAAAATGGGAAAAAGAAACCATGTGTAAATAGACAAAATATGCGACTAGACTATTGAGCAAGTGAAAAAGTAGGCTGATGAGGAATCCTTCGTTAGCCTACTTGTACTACTCCCAGCCTACTTGTATACATACGCTTTAGAGTTCACGTTCAATAACGTGTGATTTCGAGAAGCTAAAATCAATTTGCTAACACTGCTTGCACTGTTTATACAATTATTATACGCAACGAGCAGAAATAGAGCCACGTTGCCATTTAAACCCGCATGCTTGGAATTGGTGAAGATACTTCTCCCGTTTAAGAAGAAGAAAACTTCCTTCTCAAGCTTTAAATAAAAGGGATTCGATTCCTTGCCTCAAGAATCGATTCGATTCTCGAAAATATATAATAACCATTAAAAATTTAGAAAAAGTACGAAAAGATTGTCGCTGCTGTGGGAATCGAACCCACTGCGCCGCGAACACATCACATAAATATAATCTTATACCTTTAAACGAGCAATTCTTGTATATATATAACGGCTTCAGCTCGATTCCAGATAATTGCTTCCTTTATTTTTTATTTTTTGTCGATCCACATGGTTTTGTTATTTATTTCATTTTTTTAAAGTTCTTTCTTTTGTGAAAAACACCACTTCATATTTTCTTATTATTACGTCGGTAATTTCCAAACTACACAATTTAACAAAAAAAAAAACAAACCAAGCAAAGCTCGGTCTTCCAGGTACTACATATTTGTGTGATGTGTTCGCGGCTATAATATGAAAATGTTGAAATCGCAAGGAATTATTTTTTTGTTTTATTATTCAGACTATTGTGTATACAATGTACTATACTATATCAAATGTATCGCGAAACAACAACGACTTGAATATGTTAGTTCATTACAACACAGGTACTTCATTACGTTGCCACTAACTTAATTGCCCAAAAGAAGATGCCGAAATAATACTGTGTTAAGTGTAACTGTGCATTTAAGTTAGTTGCTGAAATTCGTAAATGGAAAAGAGGATATAATTGACAGCTGTGTGACAATCGTGTATTTTCTTTTTAAACAACATTTTAATAATAAAAAAGCTAAAAAACCTTATACTTGTTTGAATTTAATTGATTATTATTAATTAAAAACAATGCGTTAACTTTTCAATGGTATTTCTGACTGGAAATTCGATTTTCAATTATATAAAGGTACGTTTTGTCAAGAGTTAAGATATTCTGATAGGACACAGCTAAAATAAGTAACAACCTAAACACGTATTGGTATTTCCTTACATTTCTATTAGCTTATGATCACATATTATATCAAGAAGATGATTCTCGGGTAAACTAACGTATATAATATTCTATCATTTAATTTTAGTAACTACTAGCTTCTTTAGTCCTACTTTCCATTGATGAACCTAACTACGTTAAATTGCCCATACCACAATTTAAATAAGATAAAACTATTCGAATAGGATTTAAGAATTGCAATATTTTGTCATATAATTATATATCATACTATAAGGATTTTACTTCATTGAAGTATAACTTCCTGTTATACAGTAATAATTTACCTCTTTACAAGATGACAAGATATGTACATAGAAAGCAAATAATTATTCTTTATAATGATAGTATAGTCCGAAGAATTAGCTCAGTTTTCTACCCGTCGGTGTAGGCCTAATTTGGACATCACGTATGCGACGAGGCATATCGTTAACTTCCAAACACAATAGAAAACAAGCGGTGACAGGTCGGCGACCTCGCCTTGGGGAATTCAATTGAACGTTCGATGAGTTGGCGGTATACTATTAAGGCCCATTTACACGATGCCATTTTCTTGTACATACAAGAGCAATAATTGAATGCAATAAATTGCGCGCAATAATTGTTTAGACCATTTGTTGTTTAGACCATGCAACTCATTTATTGCTTCAATTTAATTGTATACAACAGGCAAGAAACTTGCACCGTGTAAACTTTAAGGCACTTGTATGTACATCGTGTAAATGGGCCTTTAGTCTTCAAAATAATCGCGTCAAAAAGTGTCCATTATCTATTCTCTAAAATTTATATTGTCTTTTAATTCTATTACTACCTCTTTTAATTTGGAATAACCGTTAAAAAAGGTTTGCGAATTCCGAAAATGTACAGAGAAAACAGATTATTTAAAACTGAATTTTCGATTCCCACAGCGGGCGAAAACTTTTCGTACTTTTTTTCTAAAATTTTCAATGTTTATTCTTAAGTGCAGAGATTAGCACTATAAAAAATTGAATTTCCAACGAGCATGAGTTTTATTGGGTTTTGAAGTTTGAGGTTGAGTTTAATAAGCATCGTTTGAAATACGTGTAATGCTGAATGATTTCGATTCTCCAGGTTTTTTTATTTGTATTGTCGTTATGAAGCTATATTGAATCCCACACAGGAGAAAGTTATACTTCTACTTTACTTAGATCTTGTATTGGCAAGTCCTTTTCGGATAAAATTTTATCAATGTTAGGAGGAGACGCTAGGCATTAATAAGGTGAATTTTATGTCACTTATATTCATGTTAAAAATACTTAATAATGTATCTTAATAAAAGCCTTATTAAGATACATTATTTTTACATACAATATAAATATTACGAAACACATAAAATATTACGTACGTTACAAGTAATTTTTACGTAGGGTCAGTTGTTCATATTGATAAGAACTAATATAGTTTCTGTTTATATAAACGACCATCCGTAATCAACTGCAGAATTTTTGACTGTTGATTAAAAAATATGTAACATCTCTAGCGTCAAAAAATTACAGGTAATTTCATTACACGCTTTACGAATATTAATAAATTTATAAAGATACACAAAATTCGATAAGAGTATGTGAATATTTACAAAAATTAATAAGTATTAACAAATTAAATCGGTAACAATATTTGAATGAAGAACGTTATTTTTTATACAATTTACGAATATTAACCAATAAACACAATAACAACAATATTTCATAACATTCGAAAAGAGAACATGGAACGGCTTAAGTGCGGTGTATGTGCTAAGCTCGTAAAAGTTGCGCGCAACCGATGGGTATCTAACTGGCGCAGTGCCAACATTGTGCCGATCTCACGTGGCGCGAATACGACTCTCGATTATTTAGGCCGTAGGACGTCACCTGCGCCGAGTGATGGGAAAGGTATCGACGACTCGACATCGAATATCGATAACATCTGTCATCGAAAGAGCTGACAGGCTGTTACTGACATTTCTTAATTGCAGGCTAATTACGCAACTTTATAACAACAAATATGGCAAATGTTATTGTGTTTATTTAACGTTGGTTTAGGTTTCTAAAAACGAACTATATAATAGCTGTTACTTATTTTACCATCTAAATTAATTAATATTTAACACCACTACCACGATAGAACCATACAGCTTCTATTGTTGCATGAATGGGCGGTTCGCAAACAAGTACCAAGACTCCATAAAAGACTTTTGGTAAATTTGAAACATTCCTTTTAAATTTTCACGCCAACGCCAATCGTGCATCTTTCATATTGAAAAATTTTCTTCTCTAATTCTAACTTTCTAAAGTTTAATTATATCATATCACATTAAGTAGTTTAGTGTTTGCAATTTTGTATGCTCAATTAGGAGTAAATGGTGTAAAATCATCGCTGTTGCAAAATTAAAACACTCGAACGTTAACGCTCCAGTAATAGCCAGTGTTTTTAGACATTTGTGCTATAGCAATAAGTTCAGTGTTTAGTAGAAACCACTACGCCTAGGAGGCTTGCTAAATAGTTAGTCAACTTTCTCACTGCAGTTCCACGCGGCTAGGCTGGCCACAAAGTTCACAAATCGTTTTAAGGCAAATACTTTAAATTGGATTTTAGTAATGGTCAATTGCATTATTTAATTTAAATGAGACAACGAAGTTTAAATTACTGGAACGTCCATATATTTATTTATTTTATTTATTTTAAAAACATTGCCCTTACTTTAGGATAACATTATCCTGTGTTGTAGGGACGTTTTACAAACATAAATTTCACGCAGACAAACACCCAGATGCGAAACAACTACCTGTGGGTCACACAAATAGTTGTCCCGTGTAGGAATCGAACCCACGACCCCCGACGCCGAAGCCAATACCTTGGCAACTGTGCCACGGAGTCATCAGATATATATTTTCATCACATTTTGTAACTTCATAAAAAACGTGACTGTCATGTTGTCAAAATTACACGAAATTTGCTCGCTTGTAAATCAGTATAATGCTGATTGATTCCTCTATTCTTGTGACGGTATCGTGTAAATTAGTATAGCCGTTTTGAGTTCTCAGCGTATTTTTGAAATTAGAATAATACTTTTTTTTATATTGCATTATTTATATGTCTATATATTAAAGAATTGAACTGAAACTGATTGGAGAACCAATCGGTTGTCGGTTGACTTGACGACATGACTTTTTGCGAACATGAAGTCATGTACAACTAAATCCGAAACAGAAATAAAAAGTTGCCCAGCCATAATCCGGAAATCTGAAATGATGGACACCCTACACATTGGCAGCTCACTCGTTAGACCTTGGGCCTATTGCACTACTTATCCGTATTGAGAATGAGTGGAGAATATTTGAAAGAACGTGAGGAAATATTTACTAATAATTTCGTTTGAGTCCACACACCATGTTCTTTCCGAGATTAGAATCTCTCTGATATTAAAGGTGAAAGACTATTAATGTGTAGATTCATATTCATGGAACGCTGAATAAACGTGGCATAATTTTTAATGTTAAAATTGACTTTTATTTTCGAAAAGAACCCATTGCCACTACGGTTGCAGATGTGTTTGATGTTTGCGGCCAAACTTTTAAAGTGCGGCCCCCGGTTATTTCACCCACGAAGCGAAACGGAGAAGTACATAAAATACATTTGCCTGTTTTCTGTGAGGCCATAGAACTTTCCCGAACAAGGCTACCATATTATATAGATAGGGTATTAGAAAGATAGTTATAAATATATATATATAGCTGAACGGACACATTGTAACGATTGTTTACGTTTATATTTATATTTTAACGGAAGTTTCAAGCGCTTTCCGATCCCATGGGTTTGAGGCCCTGCAGTGGGAAGGACCGCGCATGAGCTCATGCGTGCGATAGCTAAGGAGAAGTGTCGCCTACGGGCTATCTATGTTCGGTGCGGACCGTGACTCCGATGTACCTACTGTACGCGTTGTGTTGGTTTCGCCGTGCTCGTAGGCGAGGGCTCTGGTGTTTGTGGTTGCACTAACTGTGTGTGTAGTGTTATCTGGCGGGGCCCCCGACGGTGGGTGGGGCGTACTTATGTCCCTTTCGACCGGGTCGATGACGACGTTGCGCGGACGATGCCTAGAAACGATAGTATGTGACATCACCACTCACCCTTTCCATTAGTAACGGTGTAAGTGAGGTCTTGGAAGCTCAAATTGACTGGCGGCCGCTGCGGCAGATGTGCGAGATGCGCTCGCCCCAAAGCGCGAGTTGGGTCGGCAGCCTCCATCGCTGCAACTCTTGAACGTTTCACTGTCTCTCAGACATTACTAAAGCACTGCTTATGTTCACTTTAATGTTTCTTGAATGAATACTAATGATATAATGCGAGCTTCCATCCAACTCTTCAGCTACAAGTGAAGACTACCTGAAAATAAGAGAAACATCACGTTTTAATGCGTAATTTTTTACAGCAATTTTTTGTTTCCAATACGATAGTTGTTAAATGGACAATTTAATTCATGTTTATATAATTATATTGTATAACTAGCTGCTTCCCGCGACTAGGTCTGCGTAGAATAGGCTGAAGACGTAACATTCAGACAGAAAGATATACATAAAAAATATGTATATAAATTATAGCCTATGTGTTATTCTGATGTATAAGCTAATTATTGTAAAGTTTCATTAAAATCCATTCAGTTGTATTTGCGTGAGAGTAACAAACACTTGTGATTGAAACAAAGAGAAAGACACAGCACCAACACTTGATTGTTGGTGCTGTGTCTTTCTCTTTGTTTGATGATGTCTTCGCTTTCAATAATGTTCCTGTAGCGCCATCCGAAGTAGGGATGAAGAAGCCGTCGACCCATCACTACTATAATCATTATATCACGTCATACACAACCAACCATCGGCAGCGCTTACTCTTGCTGAGCCTATTAACATAAAAACGCCTCAATGGTAACGTTTTCTTCGAAAAAATTAGAGAATTAAAGATTCCTTAGTCTCAGACACCGCAGAAAGCGATTCCTAAGAGCTCATAACCCTACAAATATGGACACATAAAATGCCTACTTTGTCAGGGGCTATCACTTTAATCGTCCGGAATTATTACGAGCTGGTTGACCAATATCGGAATCTGTCCGAGAAACTAGTTAATATCTTAGGGCAGAAATCTTTGTGTATACAAACGAGTTAATCTTAGGAAGTGTTATCCCTAAAACGACCCTAAGGTGTGGAACAGTTACCAAAAACGCATCTATGGTCATCATGATTACAATCAATGGACCATGAAGGCTCTAAAGTGTTTAATTTAGAGAAATTCCCTATAAACAATTTAAATAAATAATCAAGAATATTTTTATCAATAAAATAAATTGTTAAAATGAAGTATAATTAGGAGCCAGATATTGTTTAAATTAGAAATGTGCCATACATATTAACTGTGTCGTAAAATGTAATGCCCTAGTACTATAATAAAGTAAGTTGAATGTAGTTTTATCTGTGGTAGAGCCACGCATGCGCTCCTAAAGCAATAATCAAACTGTCATTAAATAAAAAAAAAACTTAGTTAAGTTGTTCTACACATGCACGCGAAGGTTACTGGCCTTAAATAAAAACTCTTCGTACATATGTCACCTACACAAAAAATAAACGACTATTGTAAACATTTTTTCCTTTACGTGGCATTGGAAAGCATGTCAGGTGATAAACAGATATTTTGAAAATAGTCCAAGACAAGGTGACATACAAGCTAAACCTAAACCGCAGAGCTTAGCTTTAAATGTCACTAGCTGCTTCCCGCGACTACGTCTGCGTAGATTAGGCTGAAGGTGCAACATTAAGACAGATATACATAAAATTTGTATATAAATTATAGCCTATGTCTTAACCTGATGTATAAGCTACATTATTGTAAAGTTTCATTAAAATCCATTCAGTAGTATTTGCGTGAAACAATAACAAACATCCTTCCATACATACAAACTGCCTTTACTTAATAAGTATGATGACTCCGTGGCGCAGTTGTCAAGGTATTGGCTTCGGCGTCGGTGGTAGTGGGTTCGATTCCCACACGGGACAACGATTTGTGCGATCCACAGATAGTTGTTTGGGATCTAGGTGTTTGTCCACGTGAAATTTATGATAATTTTATCCTAAAGTAAGGGCAAGTTTTTTTTTTTAAATAAAAAAGTCTACAGATGAGGCCAGTATCAAAATCTACCAATTTGTATGCTTAAATCATAAGTGTAGTTTTACCCTATTGGCGGATGTTATCCTACAATAAATAAATTAAATAAATTCTATTCAACTAATCTGTTATAGATCCACACACAACAATCCACATCGTTAGGTGACATAAACAGCAGAAAAGAAATGCTTTATGATAAATCTTCACACAACATTTCTCTTACATCAGACTCCCATATTCTTACTGATCATGATACATCTGAGGGATCATTATCAACACCTAGTAAATTATCAAGAAGTGTAGATGGCACAATAACAGACACAATATTTATTTCAGAAATGAAATCAAAAATATCGGAGTTAACCTGCGCCTTAGAAAGTACTCAAAATGAGTTGGATAACGTTATCCTAGAAAATAATGATCTTCACAAACACGTAAACAAATTAATAGCGGAAAATAAATTATTGAAAACGCTATGTAATTCTCCGACTACAGTAGAATCTAGTCCTGGACCAATCCACAAAAGTAAAAAAAAGAGAAACACCCTACATATACAAAATATATCATCCATACCTTCATCGCTAGTGAAAACACCAACGGTGAACACCGAAACACATATTACAATATTAAGCCTACATCAAAAAATTACAGAATTAGAAAGACAACTTGCAGACTCAATAAAACATGTAAAGACTCTTTCCGAAAAAATATCGGCTTTGACACAAAATGCTCTACAACAAAACAAAATAGAAATGCGGAATAAGCCTATAGATCACACAATGAAACAAGAAATAAAATACCCAAAAAAGAAAATTTACATCATCGGCTCTCAACAATGCGTTGGTCTGGCTGCAGCGGTATCGCTCTCCAGATTTGGGACACAGTATGAAAAATATGAGGTCATTGGTGAAACAAAGCCATTTGCATCCAGTGGTGAAATAATAAAAAATTGCCATAATCTAAAACTTAAAACGGATGATAAATTAGTCTTATGCATAGGAGAAAATGATGACAATATTACGTATGTTTTAACTCAGTTACAAATAATTTTAGATAACTTTAGTAATTACAAGATTATTGTACTGAAAGTCGCAAAAAACTTGTATTTAAATGTGAACAAATTAAATAACGCGATTAAAAATAAATGCAAAAAATATAAAAATTGTAATTTTATAGATTATGAATATCTAAGCCGAAGCAGCATATGCAAATCAATAAATTACGCAATAAACTGTAATGATTATGAAGAAAAGTATCTAAATCCTAGCGAAATTAGAAAGCATATAGTTAGTGGTCAAGAATTTAATAAAAATACAAGCAAACCTAAAAAAGGCACGATCCCATATTATTTTAAAAAACCAGTTGAAAATGCTAAAAAGGCAGATTCTATCATTAAAAAGGGAACTATACCCTATTATTTTCCCTTGACGAAAAGTAATTGTACATTTTTTCGAACCCAGAGAAACTAAAATCGCGAAACGTTATTTTAAAATTTTGCACCAAAATATTGCCAGTATTCTATCGAAACAAGAATTAATAGAAATAACCATAGAGGAGTTACGAGAAACCAATAATGACCCTGATGTTATATGTTTTTCTGAAACTTTCATTAAAAGTGGACATGAAAATTATGTTAGGATATGTGGTTATAATAGGGCCGCAAACTTTTCAAGAGAAAAACATAGAGGCGGAACCTGCATCCTTGTCAAAAAAGGTATAATTTTTGAAGAATTATGCTTTATTAAAAGCTACGCAGCGCAGAATATGTTTGAGGTTTGTGGGATTGAAATCATAATTATGAAGTTAATTATACTTTGCGTTTACAGAACACCCCAATCTGATCCGAAGAAATTTTTAATTAAACTTAATGAAGTATTACACGACTTATCTATGAAATTTAAATCTAAAACAAACGTAGTTATAGCTGGTGACTTTAACATAAACACATTACAAAATGGATATATAACAAATGAACTACATGATTTATGTCACAATTATAATTTAAAGATACATATTAACGTTCCCACACGTAAATCGTCTTGCATTGATAACATATTGAGTAACATTACAAATGCAACTGCAACAGTGCTACCACTTCATCTATCCGATCATGACACTGCACAGCTGTTAAGCCTTCCATCTGAATACAATACACAAGCAAGAGTATCATTTTATATTTACCGAAGAGATTTTAATCTACACAATGTACAGAAGTTTAAAGAATGTCTACAACAATTGTCTTGGTCAGAAATTTACTCCGAAAAAGATGCTAATATATCATTCGGTAAGTTTCATGAGCTATTTTGTCTCTTCTATAATCTCTGTTTCCCAAAATTACGAATTAAAATAGATATTAACAAAAAAAGGAAACAAAACTGGATAAGCAAAGGCCTTAAGATAAGTTGTAAAAATAAAAGAATGCTAAGGTACAACTAACAAAACCAAATATAAAGTGTACTCCAATATTTTAAAAAAATGTATTTATAAATCTAAAAGGAATGCCAACGTAAAGTACATAAATAAAAATGAAAATAAATGCAGAGCTACAAGCCACACCATAGTACAAGCTTTGCTTAGTTTGGGGCTGGAAAATGTTGTGTAAAAATGTGTACTAAAAAAATTTTAATATTAAATATTTAAAATATTTACTTTACTTATTAATAAATAGATTTACATTTTTACACTTCATTTATAGAAACCAGTAAAGTGCATTAAATATTAATAAGCCTTTCTAGTCTGCTTTTAATATTCACAATACTCTATTGTTATGATTTTTTTGCCGTATTTTTGCTGAGCGGAGACCATTTTTGACATAAACACACAGCACAATATATTCCTTATTACATATACACTTTACATTTTTTTCCCTCAAAGGTTTCTGTCTTTTTGTATTTGTAACTTTGTGTACTTATAACACACACAACGAAAAGAAAAAAAAACGAATGTACTTCTGAGTCTTTGTAGGTAGGTACTTTGTGCCTTTTTGTGTGAATTTCACGGTTGTCGAAACTGGCGCGTTTGAAAAAAATTATGAATAAAACTTTTATCATGCACTAATAAATCACCGGCCAAAAAGCGATAAATGATGAAGTTGA